CTCTGCAGACCCCCAGCAGTGGACGGAGACGCACGTGCGGGACTGGGTGATGTGGGCAGTGAACGAGTTCAGCCTGAAGGAAGTGGATTTCCAGAAGTTCTGCATGAACGGAGCTGCCCTCTGTGCCCTGGGCAAGGAGTGCTTCCTGGAGCTGGCGCCTGACTTTGTGGGAGATATCCTTTGGGAACACCTGGAGATCCTGCAGAAAGGTCAGTCCCGGGGTGTCCCGGGTGAACAACTCATGGCAGCCTGGTTCTGGGGCTTTCCATAGACCAGGGGGTGTTCACCTTGAGCTTTAATCCCAGGAAAAACATCTTCCAGAGCCCAGCTTTTCAGCAGGATTCCAAATGGGCATCCCAACGGCAGCGGGCAGGGAGAATCCTGGCAGTGCCTCAGAGAGGCAGAGTGTTTGTGCTGGCTGCATGGCAGGGATCCCCAGTGGGCAGGGACACTCTGCCTGCCTGGAATCCACGGTGGGATTTTCCAAAGCATTTTTCCTCAGCCTGTTCAGCTCCTGTTGTGAATTTTACTATTTCCTCCACTGGAACTGGGTACAGGAATACAGCCAAAATCCTACCCAAATTTCCCAGCGGCGATTGGAAGCTGCTTTGCTTTGTTCCATGTCCCCAAAACCAGCATTTCTGGGAGGAGAAGCCATCTGTGCCATTCCCTGCATGACAGCATCCAAGAACATTAACTTCCAGTGACTGGGGACACACAGTTTGATTTAGGGTGTTGATTTTCCATGTCTGGATGCCCAGGAGCACTGGAATGGTTTCCAAGGGGCAGGGGAGGGACCGAGTACCTCTACCTGAGGCACAAGCAGGAGCTGCAGCACACCTGAGCTCTTTTTCCAGCTCCCTTCTCTGGAGAGCTGTTTGCTTTCCTGGAATGTCCCCTGTGCTGTCCTACTGACCCTGGTGGCAGGAAGGGGAGGGGGAGCACAGTTATTCCTTCCAGGAAACCATTGACAAATGGATGTTAATTGCCCATTACTAATTTTACTGCTACCTGTGGTTTGCAGAAGGTAAACATGGCCCTTCCCGGGCTCTGGGCAGGCCAGGCTGTTTTCCTGCTCTTGGGCTCTAAATCTGGTCTGTCCCTTTTGTTTTGCATATTTTTCATGGAGTGCTTGGATCAACACCGAGCAGTTTAACCAAACAAAGCCAAACCTTGTGCTCAGCCCAGTTTCTCCTTGCAATGAGCCATTGCTTGCACCTTCCCACAGCCCTTCCTCCCTGCTGTCCCTGCCCATGGTTGGGAGTAGCTGGTCTTCAAGGTCCTTTCCAACCCAACCCTCCTAGGATTCTGTAATTCTGTGATTTTTTTGGGCTGTGCCCACTGGAGAGGGTGGGATGTGCTGCAGGCACTGACTGAGGCACCAGGGCTGGGTTTGCACCTCCTTCCTGCAGATTCCCCACACATGGAGATGGACTTGATGCTGTAAATTTATGGCAGAGGGGAATCATAATTCCAGAGAGCACTGACACATGTGGGTATTCAGACACTGCAGTATTGATGGTACAAAGGCCTGGGACAGGGAGGAGTTTTTTCAAAGAGGCTGAAAATCTTTGTGCCTGCTGCAACTCTTCTTCTGAAAGGATGAAAATGAATAAAGCTGAATTTCTGTCTTCACACTGTTGGTGTTGCCCTGGGAGCCCAGAAATCTCTGTTGCCTGCTTGGTTTCACTGGTGACTTTGTCACTCTTGCACAAGCAGGGCCCTTGCTCCTCTGGTGGGCTCTGAACCCATTTCCAGTGAGGTATTTGGTGGGTGACGAAGCTCCCAAGAAATAACCAGCCTCCCCCCAGGAGTGGTTTCTGTTCCTGTGAGTGCTGGGGCTCATCTCCAGCCTGACCAGAGCTGTGCTGGTGCTGTACAGACAGAACTGAGCTGTCCTGCCACATCTGCCCATGCAGGAGGAGCTGGGGCTCTCCCTCTGCACCTGGATGTGACATGGGAAGAGATCAGCTATCTCCAGGGCTCCAGCTTGTCTCTCCATCTTCCCACCATCATCACTGGGGGTGTTGGTGCTGGGAGTGGTTCTTGACCCCGAATTTCCTGGCTTTACCTGTGCTGCTGGCCTGGGGTTGTGCTGGGACGGGCTGTGACCCCGCTGTCCCCTGGGAGTAGTGCATGACTCACGTACCACAGGCTGCTCAGGGCTGAAAAACAGCACATGGGTGCCTTTTCCCTGCATGAATTTGGGTATTTTCAGGCTCACTTTTCCATAATTCTTCCTAAAATAACTGCCTCAGTTACCAGCAGTCAGCAGTGCCCTGCACTTGACTCAAAGCGCAGCCGAAGGTTCTCCCCTGCTCTGTGGTCACCCCCTGCCCCTTGGCAGACACTGTGGAGAGAGGAACAGAGCATTTCTCATTAGTCCTCTGTGTTTGCACAAGCCCTTCTTTTTGTTAGGGAATATTTTCCAGCCTGCAGTCCCCAGGGGAGAGGGCCAAATTTAGGCTCCTCGCAGGCGAACGTGCGTTATCCGTGCTCGGATCCTCCAGAGCCGGGGCAGAACCAAACCCAGCCCAGAGCTGCCTGGGGGCCTTGCTTTGGGTAAAGGAAAAAATCTCCCATCCCAGTACCCCTGCTCAGCATGCCACGCTGGAATGAGTCAGGTGTTCATGGAAAAAAATTTCGGGGTGGATTTTACATGGGAAAGCAAATTCAGCAGAGCCCAGGAGGAGCAAAGTGCCACAGGAAGCAGGAAGTCCATGCTTTGACGTGCTCCATGCTCTCTCCCAGTGAGTTATGCCTATGGAAAGCTGAAATTTGGCATTTTGACCATATATACATGGAGGAGTCTGTGTCAGGAGTGGGGTCAGGGACAGTGAGACAAAGCAGTTTTGAACATGGGTGTCAGGCGCTGCACAGGCTGGGAAATCACACGGATTTGGGGTTAGAGGAGCTGGGTTTGGGATGGGTCACCCACTCCCTCATACACACCTACTGGTCTAAAAATAGGGCTTTTCCAGGAAAACAGCTGTCCTTGTGTGGGGAGTTTTTCCAGGAGCTCACACATGGAAGTGTGCTCAGCAACCCTCAGGAGAAGGAGAGGTGACAAAGCCTGAGGCAAGCAAGGAGATGATGCAGCTGGGAGCTCAGAGCCTCCTGGAGCCCTGGCTGAGAAAGCTGTTGCTGTTTGGGTTGGGCTGGTTTGGTTCAAGTTCGGCCACACCTGCAGCAGGAATTCCCAAAGGACCCCACAGGCCCCAGGTTTCTGTGGGATTTCGGCTCTGAATTCAATTCTGTTGCTCAGGACGCCCCAGTTTAACCTGGGGAGGAGATTTTGGGAAGTTCGGGGCTCTCTGTGTCACAGCAAGTCTTGCACAGCTCTGGGTGCCTTCGACTGGTGACATTTCCTTCCTTTCCTCTTTGCAGAAGAGGTGAAACCGTACCCAGCAAACGGAGTGAACACCACATACCCCGAGTCCCGCTACACCTCAGACTACTTCATTAGTAAGTCTCAATTAGCAGTGTCAATTATCACCATTATCATGTCTGGAAGCACCTTTGAGCTGAGGTTTGTCTGCACCGCAATAGGACTGCACCATGCAAGGGGGGATGTTGTTTTTCCAAGGGTTTAGGGTTGATTTTGGAAGCCTTCTGTACTTTTTGGTGGCTGCCTTGTGTGCCAACATCTGATATTTTTCAAGCACTGTTTGTCTGAAGCTGTAACTCAGCCGACTTTGAAAGCAGCCTCAGCACACTTGAGTTTGGGAATTGCAAAAAACCTGGTAAAAAAGGGAGGGAATGGGAGGAGAAGGCTTAATTCTGGATTGCCAGGGAGGAGCCTAGCAAGGAAAGGGATGAGGAATGCACTCCTGCACTTCCCATTGCCATTGCTCTGGGGATGTTCTTTAAGGGCATTGGAAATATGGGAGATATTTCATGAACAACTAAAAAGCCTAACTGACCTGAAGAGGGGAGATTTGGATGAGGTGTGAGGGAGAAATCCTTGGCTGTGAGGGTGGGGAGGCCCTGGCACAGGGTGCCCAGAGAGGCTGTGGACTCTCCATCCCTGGAATTGTCCCAGGCCAGGTTGGTTGCTCCAGGCTTGGAGCAGCCTGGGATAGTGGAAGGTGTCCCTGCCCCTGGCAGGTGTGGGATTGGATGAACTTTAAGTTTTCTTCCAATCCAAAACCTGAGATTCTGGGTTTCCATGACTCTGAGGATTGGGATTCCAGGCTCTGGCACTGGGGAGAGGTGGCTGTGCAAGGGACCCCCCTTTCCCAATCAGCAATGATGCATTTTTATCCTGAGACTCCACTCCCCAGGATTTTCCAGCTTTTTCCTTCTGGCAGCTCCCCTGGGAGGAGTTGGGTGCAAAGCACATTGAGGATGGTCGGGGGTGTCTTATTTTGCTAAATTGCTGCACTTTTAGACCCCAGCTCTGTAGCTTCTGACCCAAAGCAGTGCCCAGGGCTGGGGCGGGCGATGCTGTGGGTCCTTGGGGCTGGTTCTGGGGGGGCTCTGACTCTGCTGTGCCCCCAGGTTATGGCATCGAGCACGCCCAGTGCGTGCCCCCCTCCGAGTTCTCCGAGCCCAGCTTCATCACCGAGTCCTACCAGACCCTGCACCCCATCAGCTCGGAGGAGCTGCTGTCCCTCAAGTACGAGAGCGACTACCCCGCCGTGCTGCTGCGCGAGCCGCCCCAGGACGCGCTGCAGAGCGACTTCTTCTCCATCAAGCAGGAGGTGGTGACTCCAGACAACATGTGCATGGGCCGTGCCAGCCGAGGTAAGGCTGGGCTGACCAGGGCCTGGGTCTGGAGAGAGGTCTGGGGGTTTAAGGCTTCCACGGTGTGTGTTTGTAGGTAAACTTGGAGATAAGAAAGGCTGACTTAGAAATGCCGTGGAATGGGACAGATGTTGTTGAGAGGGAAATGGAGTTAGGAAAACAGTTTGAAAGATAGCTTTTGTAAATAAGACTAGATACTTGGGAGAAATAGAACTATGAAAGTTCTAGAAAAGGTATTGTACAACAGGGGCTGGCTTGGATGCCTGCTGTTCTCCCCTCTTCCCTCCCGAGGGAATGGCTCTGGGAGCACTGAGGGAGCTGTGCAGTGCTGACACAGCCCTCTCCCAACACATCCCTGGTGCCTTTGAGCCCTCCTTGCCTCTCCTCTCCTCTCCTCTCCTCTCCTCTCCTCTCCTCTCCTCTCCTCTCCTCTCCTCTCCTCTCCTCTCCTCTCCTCTCCTCTCCTCTCCTCTCCTCT